GGGGAGGGGAAGGGGGGGGAAACAGCATTTTACTTTCAGCTTAGCACGCCCCCACACCAAGTGCAGCACATGCCCAGAAGAGGAATTACATCGAGTTTGACCCAGCTCGGCCAGCATCTGTATAACTCATGTGCTTCAGCGGGACTTTTTGGAGCTTTTATCTAATAGTTGCTCGAATCAACTATTAGATAAAAGTGCCAAAAAACCCTTTGAAGCGCATGAGCTATACAGACACTGGGGAGCCGGGTCAAACTGACATGATTCCTCTTTCAATGAAGTACTGTTTTGTTTTGTTTTTCCCCCGCGTCTGTCAGCGCCCTTTGAGTTTGGCTGCATTGTTCTTCCAGCAGATGTCCAGAAAACTGAAGTCTCCCATCAGCACTATCCCATAGCTTTCAGATATATTTGTACGCTGTTTGAAGAGCATCTCAGCTCCTCTTCCTGACCTGGTGGCCTTTAATAAATCCCCAAAATTAAATCAGTCCTGCAGCTTTCACCTCTCATCTTCACCCAAATGCATTCTGCTTTGCTGTCTTCCTCCTGATGGAACAAGCGTATGCGGTTTTTGACATATACCCATCACCTTTTCTCCCAAACTTGTCCTTCCAAAATGGAGGGTAGCCCTCAATCTTGATGTTACCCGGGCACACGTGGCCACCACCGAGTGGTGGGATCCTGGGGTGCCAGTAGCCAGCGACCTCGCCCAGCCCTTCTAGCCGCTGCAGCAGGTTCCTCGAGAAGAGGCTCTCCCTTTACAGAGGATGAGCCTTGCTAATATATGTTTAACTAGATACAAGATTTAATTATAAACAATATAAATTACAAATAACCAAGCAGATTTAACTCATAAAGAGAACATACAATACAAACCCATCAACCCCGGTAATGACAGTCACAACATAAAACCTTTTCTTTGAATACCCCTAACACAAAAGGAGAATAATAATCAGATAGATATTAAGACAACCAACATTGAGCCAACTGAGTTACAGGCATATCGGCTTGCCCATACTTATTTATACATCTAATCAATCACTTCTATGCACAAGGAGGAATATGACGGCTCTCCGCACACGTAGCAGCCTGAGGTGATGTCTTGAGAGGAAAAACTACTTCTCTGCCCCTCTCACTGGAGCTGTGGGCAAGTCCTCCCTGGCTTGGGTCCCTCTGTGCTTGCTTCAGGCATCACGCGCTGCCGGCCGTCGCTCCCTCCTGGCGTCTTTGCAATACACCTCTCTCCGCCCTGATCCGCATCCCGACACAGCCGGCCACAGGGCCTGGGCTCCTGGTTCAGGCAGTCCCCCTGGCCAGTACACACGCACCCTGCCAGGCAACTGGGGGAGGCTTTTGTCACCCCCTCATCCTGGCTCTCTCTCAGGAAGCCTCACCCCAGGTACATAGGGTCTAGCGTCCCCTAAAGCCCACCTTTCCCCACCATGACTCCAGGCAGGCTGCTCTGGTTCCCTGCAGCCTGTCCCACCTCCTTTAACCCCACACAGGTGGAGCAAGCCCCCATCCGGTCCCGCCGGCTCCATGCACACTTGGCCCACTCAGGGGTTGCGGGGTCCTTCTGGGCTCGGCCTGCAGCGCGGCTTTCCTCTTTGTCCCAGAGAGGAGTCCTGGACTCGGACATCTCCCCAATCCTACAGCAACTCCCTCGGGAGCTCTGCAGGCTCTGGTAGAGTGCCCATATGTCCGGGTTTTCCTGGACACATCCTCTTTTTTGAGCTCCATCCGGGCGGGTTTTTTAAAATGCAAGCAAATGTCCGGGTTTTCGCTTTGCCTCTGCTTTTGCTTGGGGCTGGGGGCAGTGGGGAAGCTGA